AGTTTGTTCTCCTTTAAAACTTGCAAAACAACATTGATATGATCTTTAAGACTTGCTTCATCTCTCAACTACAGCAGGATATTATCTATGAGTGCAATCACAATTGTATCAAAAACTTGCTTGAAAACCATAGTCCATTAAAAATATTGGAGCATTAGTAGGCCAAATGGCATCACCAAAAATTCATAGTGCCCATATCTGGTCCTGAAAGTTGACTTTGTTATATCTTCCTCTTTAGTCCTCAACCGGTGATAGTCTAACCTTACATCAATTTTTAAAAATACATAATCCCTTCAAATTGGTCAAAAAAAGTTGTCAATCATCAGTAATGGGCATTGGTTTTTAATTGAGAGTTTATTCAACACATTGTGGTTAATGCACATTCTGAAACTCCCATCATTCTTCTTTTGAATAATACTTGAGCTCCTCAATGTGAAGTGCTAGGCTTGATAAACCACTAATCTAGCAATTTTTGCAATTGACTTTTAAGCTCTGTAACTCTTTAAATGTCACTTTGTATGGTTTCTTGGATACTGACTTAGAACATAACAATAGCTCAATTGTGAAGTCTATCTCCCGCACTGGTTGTAGCCCTCGTAAATCACCCAAAAATACATATGGTTATTCTCTTACTACTTATGTTAACAAAGTGTAAAGCTCATAAAGGATATTATTCTTCAATTTGTGTTTTATTTTCCTAAACTTAATGACAATTTAATATGCATCAATAAACTTACTCATGACATGAATTATGTTACTACATTCTTTCCTAATTTGTGTAAATTTCAAGTGATGGACTCAGGGAAGGTGAATGACACTGTTGACATATATAATGGACTTTATCTACTCCCACTTCAAAAAGACAATCCCATCATTCACAATCATTTGAGTCCAGTGTTGTATCTGAGCCTATTCCTCATGAGAGTCAAGTTATGTTAGAGCATTTTCACATTAGGCATCCTAACTTCTATTATATTCAAAAATTCTATCATCATTTGTTTATCAATTAAAAAGTTAGTTCTTTTAAGTATGAAACTTGCTAACTTATTAAACATACTCAACAAGTCTACCTAAGCCTGTAATACAAACCAACACATCCCTTCTTCATGGTTCATAATGATATGTTGGGGCCCTCGAAAATAAAAAATATATATATAACTAGGTGGTTTGTCATCTTCTTTGATGATCACACCAGAACCTTTTCGACCTTTCTCATGAAGGAAAGATTTGAAACTGTATGCATATTTGAAGCATTCCACAACATGATCCTCACCCGATTTCGGAGCAAAATTCAAATTCTCAAAATCAATAAAGCAAAAGACTAATACAACTCCACTCTCGGCTCTTAATTATCCAAAAAATAGCATCATTCATATAAGTCTTTGTGTTGACACACTCCAACAAAATGGAGTGCCAGGGAGAAGTAAAAGACATCTCCTCGAAATGGTAATTCAATTTTATTCACTACCAAAAAATTTTTGGGGGATGCAAATCTCACGTCCACTTATCACATAAATAAGATACCCAACAGAGTGTTAAACTTTAGCAAACCTCTCAACATCCTCATAAAATCCTACCTCCCATGTTCAGTCTTTCACCTCTAACCTACCACCAAAATTTTTTTGTTGCATTATTTTTGTTCATATACATAACCACGTCAAACCATACTTGAACCCAGGTCAATCAAATGTATCTCTGTGGGCTACTCTTCAAAGAAAAAGTGGTATAAGTAATCTACTCTTAAGAAACACAAAAATTTATTTATTTCATGGATATCACATTCTTTTAAAGCCAACTATTACCCCAAATCTAACATTCAAGAAAAGTTGGAGAGAATATCAGATTTGGGGTACCATTTTGGAACCTCAAGCTCACCTCCTACATATACCCATAAACCCAACCTTGTCACTATTATCAAAAATCAACCTAAAAATGAACCTATAACTCCACTAAATCCTCTCATAGCTACCACTAAAAAATAAGAACTCCATGTACACCTAAAAGAAAAAAACTAGTGAGCATGTAAGGGGTAACATGCAAAATCAGAAATTCAAATCATCGAAACCAACTAGACACACCCCAAGTATTCATACTTGGGTAACACATCATGAACACCAAGAGGAAGGAGCACAAAAATGCACAAAACACCCAATAGAAGAATTTGTGACCTATGAAAAATTATCATCCTCATACAAATATTTTGTTCAAAACTTGAATAATGTGTAGGTCCTAGAGTTGATCCAAGAGGCCTTATCTATTCCTGTTTTGAAAAAGGCTATGGAAGAAGAGATTATTGCCCTTGAAAAGAACGATTTTTGGATCATAACTTCGTTACCTGGGAAAAGAACTATAGGGTGCAAACAGATATTCACTATTAATACACATTATAAGAGAGCATAAAAAGGTTCAAGGCTAGACTTCTAGCAAAAGGATTTACTCAATCATAAAGGATGGACTACTAGGATACATTTGCACTAGTGGTGAAACTCAACATAATAAGTGTATTACTGTCATTGGTCGTCAACCAGGACTAGCCTTTACATTAAATAGACATTAAAAATGTTTTCTTAATGAAGATTTTAAGAAAGAAGTGTATATAGAAATGCCTTCAGAATTAAAGAGGAACACAAATAATTAATTTGTGTGCAAACTAAAAAAATTATTGTACGGAGTGCAACAATCTCTCATAGCACAGTTTAAAATGTTCTGCAAGACTATTCTTGTCAATGGGTACTATCAGTGTCGGATTAATCATACTTCGTAGGCGAAATCAAAGGTAGCAATTTAAGAAGGTACGATAGTCATCCTTGTTACATATGTAGATTACATTATTCTTAAAAACAGTGATGTAAGAAAAATTGAAACAATCAAAAAAATAATGGCTTCCAAGTTTGAAATTAAAGATCTTGAAACTTTATGATACTTTCTGAGAATTAAAGTAACTAGATATGAAGAATGCATTATCATATCCCAGAGAAAATACATCATTGACTTATTAAAGTAAATAGAAATGTTGGGATGCAAAACAACAAATGTTCCAATGGATCCTAATCAAAAAGCATTAAAAGGAGAGAATAACACCCAAGTTGAAAAAGAGATGTATCCAAAACTTGTGGAGAAACTTATTATCTATCGCATACAAGGCCTGAAATTATTTTTTATGAGGATGTAGCGAGCCGCATAAGAATGATCCAAATGAAGATCATTTAAAAGCGGTCTTTTGAATCCTGAGGCACCTAAAGATTACTCCAGGACGTGGATTAAAATTCAAAAAAACTGAGAACCATGGCATAAAGATCTACACTAATGATAGTCGACCAAGAGAATTGCTTGACAAAAAATCTACCGTGGGCTACTGTTCATTTGTATGGATAACCTGATTACTTAGAGAAGTAAAAAAAAAGTTGTAGGGGCAAGAAGTAATGCAAAACCTAAGAATCGTGTCGTAGCCCTGAAATTTATGAAGGGGTGTGGAACTTCACATGGAGAGCCAAAGCACTATTAAGATGTTCAATGATAGTCAACCAGCCATCAATCTTTCAAAGATCTAAAACACCATAATTGAACCAAACATATATAGATTGATAGGCACTCGTCTTTGAGGTCAATAGAGGGGTTCTTCAGCTAAGTTATATCCCGACTCAGTATCAGATTGTTGGCATTCATACCAAGGCACTTCCTCGACACCAATTTAGTGACCTCAATAGCGGGTTTGGGATGTATGACATATACAACTAAACTTGGGGTAGGGTGGGGTAGGGGGTGCTGAATTACACACAGTTTAAGAAACTGTTTACATTTGAGGGGAGAAATTATTCTCCCATAATTATCCATTATTGTGATTTCTTTCCTTTTTATTCAGGATGATTTAAATTTCCCTTTTAAGAGGGTTAGTTTGAGCTAAATATATATATTAGTTTTTTTGCTTAATGAGAAATCGTGGGTCGTTTCTTCTAAGGCCCCATTTGGGGCAGCTTATAATCGCGGGCGGCATTTTCAAAACGTCGTCATCCCATTTGATTAGTGTGTTTGGATAGCTTAATGGGAAAAGGCGTATGGCTTTGCTTAATAAACATGGCCGCGGGATCGACCCCGCGGTCCACACTCGTTCGCGTAACTTTTGCCTCGCTGCCCTCGTCTCTCTCACGTCTCATCTGCCCTAGCATCAATCTCTATCGAGAACCCTTTCCTCTCGCGGCTGCGGACCTCTGGTCCTTTGTTACCCCACACACAAGCCGTGCCATAGTTTTCATGCTGTTGTGAATAACTCAACTTTCCTTCTGTGCTCCCTCAATAACTCTTCAGCTACGACTTGTACATATAATCTTCCAAGCCTTGCAGTACAAGCCTTCAGCACTAACCAGGCCATGACAGCACCACTCCAGCCCCCAGCTTATTTAAGGGATAAGGCTAGTGGTCAAATTTGATGGCGAATTGTATTTGGTTGAGCTCTGTGGTTTCCATGAGAAGTTGCAGCAGTAACTAAATGGAAGGCATTTTCTTTACTTTCAAGGAAGACATTGTACATACTCGCACTTAAGGTGCTTTTTATTTCTGTAATTTTTTTTATAATGAAAAAATATCCTCCTTGCAGCAAACTTTCAAAGGCCATAGAAGAGACTTTATTGATCTTTTTAAACAATGTCACGGAATCCAATGTAGTTGCCCATGCATCCTTTCCTTTACTTATTGGAGGCATGCTAAACAGTATAATAGTACAATCTCGCAAAGTTTGCCACCACAGTTGACGAAGAACGGAATTATGAATTTTTCCTAAGCAGCAGGAAAACTTCATTCACGACGTAAAAAGCGAAATATACAACTCCGCTGCTTTTACAGCACTTTGCACTCTACCAATGCAGAAACTTTGTTTACAAGAAACATGCCTACAAAATCCTTTCACATTTAACACAGGTTTTCCTTGTAAAAGAGAAAGTTTAACGCTTCAAAAAATATGACAAATGAGTAAATTCAGCTAAATGGATTTGCAAGGTTCGCACTTCTTCATTCGCATGTATGGACATTGCTAACGAAGTTCCGCTACTATATTGTATGAGAAGACTGTCTCCCAGACGACTGCCCAAGAAAAAGAATGAACACCCAACCCCTGTAATTGCCTGGTCAAGAAAAGGTCAATAAAAAAAAATAAAAACAAAAAAACAATATGAATTAATGGGGCAATAAAAAAATAGGTTTGTCAAGAAGAAAGATTTAAGCAAGGGAAGCTAACTGAAGTCAGCACTGAAGCTTTAGATTTTATAAGATCAAGCCGTTGCACAACTCTGTAGAGGAGAGGGAATTAAAAAGAATATAAACAATTAGATCAAAAAAGTGAACTTACTAATTAAATTATGAAGATAATATATAAATTAGATGCATAGCACGTTACAACAAGCTTAATTTAGAAGCCCCATAAATTATAACCGTAAAAACTACAAATAAGACTCCCAAACCAAAACTAAAAAAACACTCACCTTCCATCATTCACCAACGTCAGAATTAGTAGTTCTCCCGTTTTTGATGAAAACATAGCAACATCATGTGACAACCATGTGGCATTTGCAGCATCAAGCTCCACAGTGAAATTTGATTTTGGCATGTCCATGCTGAAATTCAATTGAAAACTATTTCTCTTGAAAGCATGTCCACAGGTCCATGACTATCATGGACAAAAGCAAAACCATCAAACCAACTCCACGTTAACAGATCAGAGGTTTAAAATATAACACGAGACAATTCAAAGACCAAGCACTGCAAAAATTAATGATGACTTTCAAATGATCATACTATTCACAAATACAAAATCTTTTTTAATCTTCTAGTCCCATTAATTTCCACCACAAAAGCACCAAGAAGTGAAAATGGGGAAGTTGGGATTAATGGATGCAATAGACATGAAAAATCTAAATTAAAAGGATATTGACGGCTTGGAGATGTCAGCAAATATCAATCAAAACAGCAAAATTCAGAAAATCAACTCCAATTAATGTTGTGATGCAAAAACAATATATCATTAATTCAGTAAACATGTAGATCGAGTCACAAAAACGACAAGAAAAAATTAAATTAAAACGACCAGTCATAGCATAGTACAAATCAACCAAAGCATTAAAAAAAATTTAAAGAAGAATAAATCGTTCAAAAATCGCAATTAACCTCGCTGCTGGAACAAACTTTGATAGGGATACCCAAAAAAAAAAAAAAACAAAAACAAAAAAAGAGCTGAATCGAAAATTAGCCCTACAAATAATAACACAACAGATTACAAGAAATCAAGTATCAGGTATCAGCAACTTAACGTTTTGAAGAAAAATAACCGGACATGTCTCTACCATTTGCTCCACTGGTCTTCTGCATTTTGAGTAGAAGAGACATTCTCCCCTATCTTATAAAGACAAACATGATCAATCCAGTAAATCCTAAGAACAGAAATGCCTCAGGGTTTTCCCGTTCAAAGGGGAGGCGGACAACCCTCCAGGCCTCTAATCTACCATATTTAGGATCATATTAGGGTTATTTTTGTAGCACCGATATAAATAATTTGTTTTAGGACCTGTTACACTTTTGCTTGAATTTGATAACATTAAAGATGGCTCTTTTTTTTTAATCTCTCATAGTGTGCCTGTAACTTGTACGAGAATAGGTAGTGGCCTCATTTAGACATCCATACATTTCTAATATCATCACCAACCACCTCATCTAAGCTGTCTTCCACAAAACAGCTGCTGTCCACTTTCCGTCCCCTCCAAACCCTTGTGTTTTCTCATGTTTCACTCCATAATCCTATAGTACAACACCCCGCCTCCTTCCTTGATCCTTTGAGACAATCCAGGAACTCTAGAACAATGTTAGCGATCATGGCCTTATGATCAAAAAACTTTTCAGCACTCCAAAAGAAAGATTAAGTCATGTTATGGTGTTACAAGTCAGGTCATCCTATCATTCCTTAGCTTAGAAACTTATTTTTTTTATTTGTTTGGTGATAAACATATTTTTTAAGGTGAAATCTCTCTACTTGCCAAACACTAAAGACCTATCTTTAAACCTAAGCCCCGTATAAAGCCACCGCAGCTTTTCCACTTATGCATAATGACATCAGGGATCCATCAAAACGTCAAAATCTTTAACTTTGAATGATGATTTTCCACTACTACTAAAAATCACACGCACATGTTGACAATACTTAATAAAATTATAAATCTAATGCTGAACCAACTTCCAAAAAAATTCTACAATATGCTTAACGCTCAATACTCCAACAAAATCCCAAAAGTTCTACATGGATTAAGGTATAAGAATTATTGAAACAACATTATAGAAAGTTATTGAAATCAAGATGATATTATTCATCAAAATTTTCACTCCAGCACTCCTCAACAAAATGGTATTGATTAACAGAAAAGGAAAATCTCTAAGAGGTGGTTAGATCTGCCATGTTCACTAGTAATACCCTTAAATATTATTATTCGGGTGATGTCATTTTTGCTATCTGCTATCTTATTAACTAATTGTCTGCAAGCATATTTCAAATCCAAACTCTGACGGTCGTGCTTTCAAAATTCATTTCAAACACTAATACCATTTATAATCTTCCACTTAAGGCCTTTGATTGCACTCTACTTACTCACAAAAACATGAACCCAATAGAAATAAACTTGATCCCAAAGCCTTCAATTGTATCTTTCTCAAAATTATAAATGTTATTTCCATGATTAAAGAAAAAAAATTGCATACATTACAAGAGCTATCTTACAAATCAGCAGCTTACAAACATACTTCAATTCACAAATCCAATCGATGCAACTTCAAAAATGCTTCCTTAATACCCATATCACTTCTAATCTTTCAATTAAATTTATTAGGTGCACTGCAATTGTCCACAATTATGAACCAAATAGAAATAAACTTGATCTCAAAGTGTATTATTTCTTGATATGGGGCAAATCAATCGCTAAAAAAGTTATTCCAGTCATAAAAGAAAAAAATTTGTATGCATGGATGTTATCTTATATAAGAATAAACTCTTGCTCCAAAAAACATATTTGTATCCACGGATGTTATCTTGTACAAGAATTAACCCTTGTTCTAAAAAAATTTCTTTTACATGAAGATAAATAGAGAAGATATTTTAATAATGTTCCACTGAAATTATCCAACCCATTAATACAACCAACCATCCTAGATCCAATGAAATTGATGAAATTGAAGTTACCAAAACTCCTCTTCGATCAACCCCACAACGTGCCATTGAACTTCATGCTTATCCTTGAATGAAGAACCAATAAAAAAAAATCATTCTGCATCCCGAAGTTTGTCATGAATCCTACTTAAACTAGATAAATTCTTAAAATCCTCTTTCTTGAGATATTACTAAATTTCCCATCTCTAAAATCAGTTCTCATGGTTCCCAAATTTACCTACAACCTATCATTAATCAGTAAAATTATCAACAATAGAAACTACGTTAGTAAATTCTTTCTTATTCAATATGAATTCTAATATGAGGACCGGAGTAGGACAATTGGCAATACTAAAGAAAAATTGGCAAGTCGACTATACATCTTGAATGCTTCAAAACAAAGAATGCAAGTGAAGCATGCTCAATATACATCTTATTACAATAATAAAAGTATAATTATGTTCTGATAGTTTCACTTTGATCAACCCAATTTCATGTATCTAAAAAAATCATTTCCTCCATCCATAAAAAATCATAAAATGATCAAAGAGATTAAAAAATTATCTAAATATACTTGGAATACTTATCATAGTCATCTGTATATAGCCTCACAGCCATTTAAAGTCATTTACGATGATATTTGGGGGCCATCTTGGTAACCAATATCGATAATGGTACATCGTTATATCCTTTTGATGATTATAGTGTAACCACTTAGATATTTCAATTGAAAGATAATTCCAAAACTAAATTTATTTTCTAAAACTTTTTTTTAATACAGACCCAAATTCAAGATTTTAGGATTGCCAATACGAAGCAGTAATTACATGCCATTCTTGAAGCCCATATACTCCAAAAATAATTGTACAAAGTTTTTGGACTAATGCTAAATAAAATGTAAGTAAAGAAAAAAAATAAGGACCTCCTGGAAGTTGTATATTAATTATATTCACTAGCAATGTTCTAAAATATTATTGAGGAGAGGCTATTCATATTGTTACATTTCTAATTAATTGTATGCCATGAAGGTGACACAGGTGCTGAACAACGCTCGGTTACAAGCGCTAAAACAGTGCCCAATACGGGCACTTTGTTTCAGCGGGGTCAAGCACCTGTAAAGCTTCGCAAAACAGTAGGGGACGGGATTGCGATCCCGCGTGAAGTTGAAGGGGTGCGGGAAATTGCAATTTCTCATGAGGGATCTCCATATCAAGATATTCCCGCACGACAAACGGATGGATCGCACGAACTATCGTGATCCGAGTGGAGCTTCAAGATGTCGTTGCTCTAAGGTGTGATTTATGGACTTTTCTTGGATTCGCACTCTCTCCTTTTGTGTAGAGTATTCTTTCGTCCAGTAAGAAGCCTATAAGTTGTTGTCCTTGTGTATACGGGAGTCAGTTGTGTTTGAGTTTAGTTACAGATCTCCAGCAAGGGCCTCTTTCCCCTTGGTGGGGTTGTATCCGAGGAGATAGGGTGCTCCGGATATATCCTCTTTGAGGCAGTGATTGTATCTTCACTTTTTACCCTTTCCAAACCTTATCTTCTCCACTCCTCTGTCGTCGAACTCTCCCACCGTCGCCTCGACACCCAACTATTCTTCCTTCCTGTAGATTATTATTGTTGTCCTGCCTACCTAACTTCATTCAAGCTCCTCCCAGCCACCCCACTACCGTTGTCGACCATCTACAACCCTTCCCACATATTGTTCTAATAGTTTCACACCTTCCCTTCGCTACCACCTGCCTTTCGTGACTATCGTCATCCCTCCTAATCATTCATTTCCCTCTAGCCTACTTCCACCACCTAATGGGTTATATTTAGGAGTGGAGTTTTTGTCGTTTTCTGTCTTGTGATGTTATTTTCTGTTTGAGTCATGTTGTAATTCTATTTTAATATTAATGAAAGTTTGTTTTGTATTTTCACTGTTTTCCCTACTAGTTCCGGTATTAGAAGGATTCTAAAATTTCAAACTATCGGTCAAACTCTCAGCAAAGCCTTAGGCCATAAACAGACACCTCTCCAACACACCATTCAAAAAATTTTAACTACTATAGCATTGTGCACATTCCTCCAATCCGAGCATTTGACAAGAGTAATAAAAAAAAATTTTGGCAAATCATCTCAGGATAATATATACAAATGTTATCCAACAATTAAATATTATAGCACTATGGATGTGCCATTTTTTTTCTAAACCAACCTTTTTACACCAATACTCATAATAAGGGGGAGAAACCAACTCACTCTATGCATATGGATTTTTAAAAATATAAACCTTGTTGTATATGATCCTAGATCTCTTCCAAGCCTACTTGAGTCCATAGAATCTATTTCTTTTAAACACATTAAAAGCTCCCAATAACACATACAATGAGCAAGGAGCAAAGGATTATCTATCCTAGACTGCATATTCAATTGACAAGA